CGGGCATCTTCGTGACGCCCACGGGCGTGCTCAAGGAGGCGGGCTCGCCGGGACTGTCGCTGGTGGTGTGGGCCGTGTGCGGCGTCTTCTCCATCGTGGGCGCGCTCTGCTACGCCGAGCTGGGCACCACCATTTCCAAGTCGGGCGGCGACTACGCCTACATGCTCGAGGTCTACGGCTCGCTGCCCGCTTTCCTCAAGCTCTGGATCGAGCTGCTCATCATCCGGCCCTCCTCGCAGTACATCGTGGCACTGGTCTTCGCCACCTACCTGCTCAAGCCGGTCTTCCCCACCTGCCCGGTGCCCGAGGAGGCCGCCAAGCTCGTGGCCTGCCTCTGCGTGCGTAAGTACAGGACTGCCCGGGTGGGGCGGCCCGCGTCTGTGGGCCATCCTCACGGCATTGGGCCGAGGTCGCTGGCCGGGGCGCCCGTGCGTTTCGTTTGTTCGCTCCTCTCCAGGCCCCTGGGTCCCTGCCCCGACCTCAGGAGGGGAGAGGGGCTCAAAGGGGGAGGGCTGTGGCCCACTGCCCACTGATCATCCAGCCCTAAGGGCTCCTGCCAGCGCCTTCCTTGACCCTGCTGAGCTGGGCTCCGCTCCTTGCAAGGCACCCACGTGGAGTGAGCGGGCTGCCAGCTTCCTGTTTCAGCTCCCGCTCACTGGCTGTGCAGAGGGAAGCTGCGTTAATGGAAGTCAGTCATTCATTTCTGAGCCGTAAACTGGCTTGTCAGGAACTGGTGGCACGGCTGGCTCGTCACAAAACAGTAGAAATAAAAGCGTGTGGGGCGGTGACCCGTGCTGGCTGCCCTGCAGGTGGCCAGCAGTGAGGGAGCTTGGCGGCAGACTGCATGTTGGGAGGTGGGCTTAGGGGTCCTGCTGTCGGGTGTGGTCCTGCTGTCCGTGGGCTCGGGTTGGTTCTTCAGCAGCCCAGGGAGAACTGCCACTCCTCAAAGCATTTCCACGTGGGCTCCAGAGGACAAAGTCGTCTGCACCAAAGGTCACGTGACTGTATTCTGTTCTTCTTTTTCACTTCTCTTGGCTCCTGGCAGTTCTCAGCTTCCTCCCTTGGCCAGCCTCGGTGGTGCCCTGTAGTTCCAACATGGGGAGCACCCAAGGAGACCACTCGCCGGGAGCCCTATCCCACCCCTCCTGATAGGAGCCGGCTCCCCGCTCTCGGTCTGTGCAAAGGCCAGGCAACAATGGGGCACTTCCAACTGGCAGTGCCCATGGGTCTCGGAGCCTGGCTGCTCCAGCCACAGACTGTAAGTGGGGGAGGGTTTTTA